ATGGAACATGATCTTTACTAAATATCCCAATGATTTTTGGCATAAAAGAAAAATCTATAATTTTGACCCATACTATGTATTGTTGGCTATTGCTACAAATATACCCCAGCGACTACTTTTGTGATCCAGAGTCACTAATATTGACTTATTTTGAAGGATGTAGTAGACTTTTCTTCATCTGACATCCCAAGTTGTAGTCATGGGTTTAGCAAACACGGTTACACTTTATTTTAAGGTGTCCTTGTTATACGTTTAAGTACTGATTAATATGAATTAACTACATGTACTTACTCTATGGTTAGGGTTTGGTTTAGGGTTACTTGCATGTAATTATACATAATTAATTGTTATTATCCTACATGTAACGTGTGACAAGTACACCTTAAAATAAAGCGTTACTGCAAACACCACTAACTGTAACTTTAATTTTATCCACAGGAGTCCCATCTGAGGATCATCTCAATGTCGGTCTCAGTCGCCTCACTGTCCCGTCTGCTCCGATGCAGCCTGTCCTCGGTGGGCCGGGGCGCCAGCTGCAGCGTCCGGTGGAGCAGCTCTCGTCTGGACGCGGACGGAAGTGGACGTCCAGCCACGTGGGACTCCTTCGGGATCTGGGATAACCGGATAGAGGAGCCCATCCTGCTGCCTCCCAGCATCCGCTACGGGACCCCCATCCCGCAAATCAGCCTGTCCAGGGTGGGCTGCGCCTCCCACATCGGCCGCCGGCACGACAACGAGGACCGCTTCCAAGCCAGCAAACTCTCGCATAACGTACTCTTCTTCGCTCTGTTCGACGGACACGGAGGACCACAGGCCGCAGACTTCTGTCACAAACACATGGAGCAGCACATCCGGTACAGGACAGAGTGACCTTTAGTTCCATTAAACATGTTTAACCCTTGTATTGTGCTGACATTCTGGTTACGTTTTTCCAGGACAATCTGTCCCAAATTGGATTTAATACTAGAAATCACTAATACTAAAAGTAATAACTAATCAAAAAATTACACTTATAAAACGGAGCGTTCCGGTCCTTGATTCTGATTGGTTGAGCCGCGCTAAGGGGGTTTTAGGCACTCTGTTATAAATTCACTGTAAACCACGGCTTCACGGGGCTTATTGCTTTATTTGAAAAGTAAAACACACAAAAAAAAAATCTGGTAAAATCTTTTAACATTAAGATTTGTATATTAATTAATATTAATATACATCTACTGTATTTCTCACACATAAAAAAACATGTTTTTTATTGTATTTAACTATTTATATATAATTATTTTAAATTAACATTAAAACTATATTAAATAAAAAATCTGGTAAAAACAGTAAACCTTTAACGTTAATACTTATCACACATTACATAAAATAAAAAACAAACATGATCACGTTTTTAAAACGTGTTTTTAACAAATATTTTAAAACATAAAATTTGAACATTACAAACACTATTTTAAATATTTAAAAAAATTCAAATTAAAGCTAAATTAAATAAAAAATCTGGTAAAAACAATAACCCTTTAACATTAATATATGTATATTAATTAACATTAATATTCATATTCTTCTCACACATAAAAAAAACTCAGTAGACATTTTTACCATTTTTAACAACTATTTAAAAAAATTACAAAATGTCATCATAAACATAAATATCATAAACAGTATTTTAAAAAATTTAATTAAATAAATCGGGTAAAAACGGTACAGTTTTAACATTAATACTTCTCACGCATTACAAAAAAACACATGAGAATATTTTTTTAAATGGTATTTAACAACTATTAAACTAATTACAAATATGAATGTTATAAACAGCATTACATTATAAACCGTTTTTCTTTAACAATTTTTGTGTACTTTCCTGAAGCTCAAACATTAGAGCAGAATTTCACGCATAAACTGATAAAAATGTATGCCTTCAAAACAGCATACATTTAATTTGACCCTAAATGAGAAATGGTCAAGAAAAACGTAGGTTAAGCAGTATTTCCAACATAAAAAAAATGCATTACAGGTCAAACTGACCCAGGATCTAAAGTAAGGGTTAAACATGCATCATTGTAAATTAAATGACGAGGATTTTGTGTTTTGTAGGGGTTGTTTGGAGGTGGAAACAGATTTACAAGCAGTTTTGTCTAAAGCGTTCCTGCAAGTGGATGCAGCTTTGGCTGCGGAGCTGCAGATATACGGCAACGGTACGAAAAATTCAGGTTTACCTTTATGCATTTGACTAACGCTTTTATCCAAAGCTACTTGCATTGCATTAAAAGTACATCTACAGGGTTCCCACGGCTCATGGGATTTCTGGAATATCATGGAATTTTAAAAGGTCTATTCCAGACATTGAAAGTCAGGGAATTTTTTTTTTTTGTCCAAGTCATGGAATATCAGGGATTTTTGTTTACCGCTTCAAATTTTAGTTTCCAAATGCAATTTTTCTATACCTTATTTTTTCTTATCGCGTTGTTTCATGCATTTTGCTTAAATGCTATTTTATGTGCTATTTTTCAGCGCCATTTTATTCCCTTCCCGTTCGTCAACTGGCAATCTCTTAAGTCAAATGCAGTCACCAGGCTGTACCTGTTAACTAAGGCAAACATGCCAGGAAAATATACATTTCAAGAGCTTTGGCTACAAAATGACCACTTCAAAGACTGGGTGTTAATAGTAGACAACAGAAAAAGCAAAAACTAAATGTGAATAAAATAAAAAGACTGAAAAAAATAAATAAATAAAAAGACTGAATGATGAACTTGATGACAAACAGAAGATCCTTCAGAGCGTTTAACCCCTGAAAGCATAAAAAACATAAATTAATTTCTGTAGAAATAGTACAGAAAAATATCAAAGTGCATTTAACGGGGAAAAGCAAATAAAAAAAGTCGTGTGTATGTGTGTTAGTGCTGTCAAACGATTAATAAAATAAACGTTTTTGTTTACATAATACATGTCTGTATACTGTGTATATTTATTATGTATATATAAATACAAACACATGCATGTATATATTTAAGAAAAAT